GTTCTGGCTGAAACTCTGATTTATCTAACATTAAAAATTTTGCCAATGGTTGGGTGTGAACCGTTATCTCCTTGTGGCCCTATTTTGTGTTGTCCTGATTAGTACTCCATATTGTTATTCATCTATTTTTATCATGAAAAGATAACTCACTTGGTATTTGTATTGATTCTTCTCATTTTCTTTTTTTTTTTTGCGGAATCAAGGATTGAACTCAGGTCCTTGTCCTTGCCAGGCAAGCGCTTATTCTGCTGAGCTATCTCCCCAGCCCCTCTTCTCATTTTTCTATTACATTCTTTCTTACTGATCATTGGAAGTGTCTTAGATTTATATTTTTGTCATTTATTCAGAATTTCTCTTAAAAGCTTGAATCTTATGCTTTTATCTACATTGTGGCATATTTTCAGGTGCAAAAGTTCTTGGCTTTTAATGATAACTTGTTAATATTTTCATTGTCTTCCTTAAACTAAAGTTATTAAAATGCACTCCAACAAATTCTTCTCAAAGGATTAAGGTTTTTCCTCCTAAATCTAAATTTATGTTCATGTACCATGTAAATAACCTGTTTCCTTCTTTTCTGAATGGATAGCCAGTCTTCTCAGCTGCATTTACTAATAAAGGACTCTTATTCCACAGAATTCCATTCTCTAACCACCTTTTTTAATTCATCTACTCATCTGTCCTGTAATGACACCATACTTTGTTGTTACTATTGCTTTCTAATAACTCTGAAATATGACAGATCAAGTCCTGCTTAATTCTGCACAGGTAACTTTCAGTTGTTCATATACACTTCTTATTTGCCCACATATTGTCTCTTTCAATTGTTTTTCATTTTTTATTGTAATGATTCTATTTGGGATTGTTGTGGTTTGTGTCTAGTTGTCCCCCTAAAGCCTCACACAGTCATTGGGGCACCTTACAGAGTTTGTGATTGATTCATGATCCAATGCGGGATTATGGGAATGAGTGCTACACCCACCCTGTAGGGAGGGGAGAGAGGCTTTCCAGCTGCCCCTGCCGCTGCTCCTCCCTTTGCATTTTGCTATTTTCTGCCACAATGAACTCCCACGCTCTGCCATGTACCACTCTGCGTTGGAGCCAGCGGAGTATGGACTGAAACCTCCACTAACTGTGAGCTAAATAAACCTTTTCTTCCTTAATTGTGGGTGTCAGATATTTTGTCCCAGCAATGAGAGAAAAGTAATGAAAACAGGGATCATTTTACTTCTATCTGAAAAACAAAATCCAATTATTTGTATTGGTTCAGATGTTCCACTGTTTTTAGGTTTCTTTTCTTTAGGATCTTTGCTTTACCTTCACTTTTGCATTTCTGTGAAGTATAAAATTCTAATTCTTTCAATAGCTTAAAAATATTATTTCTAGCTTTCTCTAGATTTCATCATTTCCGTCAATCAGTTAGTTATCTTGTACATTTTAATGTTTATTTCTGACTTTTATTTTTTCTTACTTTATCTGTATTTATTGTTTGCTTTATAGTATTTCTTAAACCTGGTTTATTATTTTTCATTGTACGGTGTTTTTACAACTTATCTCTTTGCCTACTGCTTTTACCCCATTATTTTGTTTCCTTTCACAATTAAAAAAAAAGCAATTAAAATATGTATTAAATGAATTTTAGCTATTGTGTTTTTGCAATCTATTATTATTTTTTTCAGTCTATTATTTTTGAAGGTTCAAAAACATCTTTTTAAAATTTCTGGTGCTAAGGCTTAAACTCAAGGCCCTTGCACTAAGCTACATCCCCAGCTCATTTTATTTTTGTGACAGAGTCTCAATAAGTCACTAAGTTGTTCAGGCTAAGCTCAAACTCAGGGCGTTCTTGCATCACTCTCCCAGAGTGCTAACTGGTTTTTTTCTTACTCTACAGTATGTCAACATGTTAGTTTAAAGCCCATGCTAATAAATTTGGTAATAAGTCTTCCCCTACAAGTCTGCTTCTCTGACCTATCTCCAATATTTTTCCTCTTGTTTTTTTTTTTTTTTTGGCTAATTTGTTTTATCCCCCTGCCTTTCCTGATAATTTTTAATTGAATGCCAGATGCTGTATATAAAAATTCAGAGACGTAATCAGAGATGCTGAATGACATGTTCCTCCAGAAAGGATTCACTTTTGCTGGTAGTAAAATTAAAGTAGAGCCAAATCAACTTAATCCTATTTGGGAGTGGGTTAATTTTGATCTGCATCCACTGTGAGGACAAGACTGTTTCCTCACATCTTGTTCAGGTCTTGCTTTGCTTTTCAAAGATCTTACGTGAAACCTTGGATTGGTTGTCAGGGTACTCATCTTGTTTAGGAAATACATTCTAAATGTCCCCTGGCCATGAAGAACTGTCAAGAGCCTTGCACAACTTCTCTTCCCTGTTGGTGCAGTTCTCTGCACATCTTTTCCAGCTGTTGTTACAGATTACCAAATCCTTGCAGAGAAAAGTGACACAGGTTCACTTCTGCAGCCTCAGTTGTTTCTCATGAAGACTGAGGATTCATGGCACTTCAAGGCCTTGAGGCCTTCATCACTACCTGATCTCTTTGAGTAGATTTTGTTTGTATCTTATCCATTTTTTCTAATTATTCTCAGCAGGAGGTTTTCTGGTAAAGGTAGACTTATATAACCAGGTCTTCCCATATTAATTTTAGGAGCAGCTTACCAATATTTTTTAAAGTGAGATTTAAAAAATTTAAGTCTATATCTCTGGAAAGAATTGACAATGTTACAGAATTAAAATTTCCTATTCAACCAGCCAAATAGCTCGGTAGATTAAAAAACCTGCTTAGGCACATGCAGGGGCCAGGAGTTTGATCCCCAGGCCTGCTGTGCCAGCCCCACCCTTGGGGCACGCTGAGACAATGATTGAGAGTGGGCATGGTGGTGCGCACCTGTAATCCCAGCTCTTGGGAGGCTGTAAACAGATGGATCACTACAAGTTTAATCTATACAGTGAGACCTTTTACACCCTGTACACCCTGTCCTAAATACAAAAAAAAAAAAAAAAGATTTCCTATTCATGAACAGGATATATCTTTTTTTAGGTCATCCTTAATGTTTGTTTTTAATATTTTTCCATAGTGGGTTTGGACACATGATAGGTTTATTCATGGCTACTTCACATTTATGTTACTATTATAATTGATACATTTTCACTGCATCTTCTAGTCAGTACTACTGAGATATGATTTTGCGTTATTTCTTTTAATTTACATTTACTTTGTATTTTCTGAAGGCAACCATGTCATCTGAAAACAATGAGAGTATAAGTTATTTTTATCTTTAAATATGTACAGGATGAACTTAAGGGAAAACAGTTACAGCCTACCTACTTGACACAGTATGAAACTAGCAGTGTGTGCAGCTTGCTGTTTTCCTGGCTGCTGGCCGGTAGCTACAGAAGTCCTGCTGAATTTGCAAGAGGGGAGTGCCCTGCCTCAGGCTGCCTGGCACTGAAAAGCTCCTGATGAAACAGTGCAGAGAAGGCCTTCTTAGTTCAAGAGCTAAGACAAAAAAGAAAGTAAAAGAAACATAGCAAAATATAAAATCATGCCTTTCATGGCTACTTCAATTCACTAGATTTCATTTCATCGAGATTTTTGGTTGATTTTCTTAAGTTTTCATATTTTTAAGATTTATTATGTAGTGTTGCTATCAGTTATCATACAATGATCATTTATTTATATGAAAAGAGAACAAGTTAGAAATGAGAGTTAGTATATAGAAACAGAACCATGTGGCTTCAAAAGAATTCAGGGTACTAACATAAGCGCAGAGAATTGCACTAACAGGGAAGCTCATGTACGGAATAAGTGACATTTAGTCAAGCAGAACTTAGTTGGGCATTGTGTATAACAAGACTATGAGAGTTAGGAAAGAAAATTTTGACTGGAAAAATGAAAATAAGATTTCTTAGATTAAAAATGCTTTTTCTAAACACACTTAAATAGAGGTGAGTATTTCTGGTGGAGATTTGAAGCTGCAGGAAAGGAAGACACTGCCTCAGGTGACATCGATGAAAGCACACAGAGTGTGCTTATTTTCTAATGTGACCAGGGAGCTAGCAAGGCTTCCTGGCTAAGGACCTAAAATGGTCTCATTTTCAAGGTATTATCACTGAAAAGCTCAAAGGAAATGAGGCAGATTTTCCAATTCAAAGATAATAGCATGTTACATAGCTCATATCATTTTTTAGTTATCACTAAAAACCTAAAAGAGATGCTGAATTACCAAAATGTAACCCAAACTTTTTAGGATTGAAAAATATTCACTTTTGGAGGAAAGAGAACTTCACATTTAAGGAAAGATAACTAGAGGAACATATAGCTTTTTTGGGGGGTGCGGGGATGTGCCAGGGATTGAACTCAGGACCTTGCGCTTGTCAGGCAGGCGCTTATGCTGTTGGGCTATCTCCCCAGCCCAAGCTATTGTGTTTCTGAGATCAGCTCACTCATCAAAAATAAAAGATTGATCTTGTGATGCTCTGGATATCAATTGCAAATTGAAATAAAACTACGCAAAAAAAATTGAAATTAGCTGAAGAAAAGGAGTCACACTGAGTAATTACCTAACATCCGCAAGGCTTAAGTCATCCTAGGTATGACCAAACCTTTACCAAAATTTCTATAATGGGTCCACTTGGAAACCTGTGGCTCAATCCCTTTTTGGGTGGTTCTAGTGTAACCAAAGTCCCACGAGTTGAGGAGAAATGAAACATAAGAAAAAACAAGGGGTCTAATTAATACATAAACTGAAAAATCCCAAGCCCCGAACAACCCAGGCTCTGTATTAGGCAGGTTGTGTTATATGTAGTAATAATATTTTGGCTGTAAGGAAAATATTTAATTAGAATTTATGTGAAATTTCATTTTATCAAGTTATAGTTTCCAAATATATTTTTTAAAAGTTACAGTAACAAGCTTGGCAAACCATGTTTGTTCAAGTGCAACATCCCCTTGGACTATAAAGAACTACTTAACCAAGTGTACAATAAAATGCCAATGTTTTATGCTGATTTTATTTAAATAATTAGGCGACACAGTTATCCATTAGGACTATAAATTAGGAAATTGAATTATGCGCTCATGTTTAAACATCAGTACAACCTGTGTGCCGACACAAGAACAGCCCACGCTCACTGAGAATGCGGAGGTGGAGGGACAATCATGATTAAGAAACATTGGAAGTTCAGAGAAAAACTTTTAAAATTAAAGGTTTTCATTCAAGGATTTTAAAATACAAAAGTAAGTAATCTAATTTTAAAGAGATCAGACTGTAAGTTATTATACCATTCATCAATTAATCGCAATTCTGTCTGTAAAAGTATGAGCAAGGATCACACCAATGGTAAATCAAATGGCTAGGAGGTGCCTTAACAGTAACTGCACTATTCCAACCAACTTTCAAGACTGAGCGAAGAGTTCCCTTGATCCAGATAAAGGAAATTATTTTTACTTTATCATCCGCTACACCAGGGTGATGGCCTGCTTTAACCCCATGTAGCCTCTGAGGCGTCAGTGAAAACCCAAAAATCTATGAGTACTGACTGCTGGAGACAAGCAGAAGGTGAAGCACAGCCATCCCGGAGCTGCTGCTGCTGCTGCACGACCTAGTGACTTTCCTGATTATCCTTATTTGAGAATCTGTGGTGGGAGCACTTGAAGAAAGAAATGGAGCGCAGCTATGCCTCTGTCTCCCGGCCGTTGAGCAGGTGACCAGCCACAGAGGCCGTGGAACCAAAATCTGTAGAATTCTTCTAGTTTTGAAAGCAAAGATGCCATCTGGTGGCAGCTTTTTCTTGACCTTCCTTCTAGCTGGTTGTCAGGGAGTCATTTCTATCTGGTGAGGTGGAGATGGGCCTCTTTTTGGGCATCATGGGTCAGTTGACTGGAGAGGTTGGGGCTTTTGCATCCCCACAGCATGGGAATTTGCCACGTAGGAGGGGAGGTGAAAGCTTCTCTCCATAGCCTGGTGACCAGGTTCCTTATCACTGGGCAGCAGGAACCAGCAGCCTTGTTCTGTGCCCATTCCACACATACGGAGCTCCTGTCTCTGCAAAGTTGCTTGCCCTGATCCTATGGAAAAAGTTTTCAGTACTCACATTATTTACAAAGATTAGCAAGAAGCCCTGATAATAGAGGTTACAGTACAAGCCTAAAGTAAGAAATACACTCATTCCAGGACTATTCTGAAATGGCCTTGTTTGCCCGAGATGATTTAAAGAACTCTGCTACCTGCTATGGCTCTAGAGCTTTCTCTGTGCAGTTCTGATGTTCCCACCTGGGCCACAGATGACTTTGGAACAAATTCTGGCTTTAAACTCATTGGTATTCCTTTTTCCCAGCATGGTCCTCTACCCCAAGCTGATGTTCTGCACTTGACCTGTGCCAGTTAACATCAGCAAAGGTTAACAAAGACGGCTCTGCAGATCTTCTACTCCTCCTGTTTCTATGGCTTTCCAAGTACAGAGAAGGGGCCGGTTGAGAGTCTCAATTGACCTTTATTTCCTTCTTCACTCTGCCTTTTAATCCAGTACCTACACTGGACATGATCAGGGATGTGTCTCTCATACTGGAAGACAGGTTAAGTGGCTCTCAGAAAATGGATCAGATTATAATACAGTAAACAAAGATGCAGACATTCTAAGCCGGCCATGATGGTGCACTCCAGCAATTTCAGCCCTTGGGGGGCTAGGGGACGAGGATCCCAAGTTCTAGGGCATCCTGAGCTAACGTATCGAGTTGAAGGCCAGGCTGGACTACTTAGTGAGACCCTGTCTCAAGAGAAGCACACATTCTAATCTACTGCTAAAAAGTAGGCTAGCAACAGTAAGTTGTTAGGTTTGTGTGTGTGTGTGTGTGTGTGTGTGTGTGTAACCGTGTTCCTATCAAATCATTGTTCTATTGATGGACCTGCAGAGTCCTACTTATGTACCTCTATTAAAAGTGTCTTTATTTTTAAAAATGTGCTTTTAGCTGATCAAGGAAAAGTAATACATAACTACAAGGTATCTTGTAACTTTCTAGTAGTAACAAAAGCCCAAGCAACTTCAGAAAATACTAAACTTTTTAATTATTCAGTCAAGAGTTTTAGCCTGCATATAAAATTCTTATTATTTACTAAAGCTTCCATATTTGATTTTTAAATGTATCTTAATATCTAGGCCTTGATCAAATTAGCCAACAAAGTTGTATTGAATTCATTGGTTGGGGATACCCAGCAGCATATGTGTAAGAGTGGAAGTTAGAATGATTTTTTTCCCAGAATAAGAGGCCTATGTTCTCTATAAAGAAATCTGAAGAAACATATATGGTAATAAGCATGAAGGAAAATGTAAGTAAAGCTGCTATTTTATTGGCTTATTTTATTAGCAGAGAAACTGTTTTTATTGGCTTGAAGATTATCTACACCTTCCCAAAGGATTATGAAAAAACTTGCTTCAAAATATCCTCTGGGTTGTAAAAAAAGAACAATGATATCAGAGGCCCAGGCCCAAGAGACTCATTATAATATAATTCTTGGAAAAAGTCTTCTATCAAAGGGTATTTACCTCTATTTCTCCCTGAAGCAGAATGAATTTCCAAACTGGCTGGGAACCTGAGGAAATTTCATGCTTCCTCAGTGACCTGGCTGGATTTCACAACCCGCCAGCAATCTGGCTGAGGTCCAGCCTCTTGTAAGACCTGCAACTCTGAAATTCCCAGGACAGCCCCAAGACCAACCTATCCTCACAAGAACACTTCCCACTAGGACACAACACCCACTTTCTTGGGACCATGTATAAGCTACATTTACAGAACTGTATCCATGTAAGCCCTAACCCCTCAAAACTCTACCTAGTCCAATGTAAGGCGTCACTGTCTACTTGCTCAAAAGATCTAGGAGACCACTGTATGGCTAGAGTTTTAAGTGAACATGGTGTTAAGATTTAGATTTGAAATGCTCTCCCCAAAGTCTCAATTGTTCCTAAGGGGGCTTTCCAAGACAGGATGAGGTTATGTGGTTCTATGTTCACTGGTGGGTTGGTTCATGATCAGTTCAGAGCTTGTAGTGAGGAGATGGGGCCTGACTGGAGGAGGTAGGTGGTCACTGGGGTCATGACCTGGAAGGGTGTATTTTTGTCCCTGGGCACCTCCCTTTTTGCACTCTCTTTGCTCTTTGGCAGCCACGGGGTGAACAGCTTTTGCCACCATGCCATTTCTGTCTTGGTGTCCACCATCCATGGACTGAGTCCTCTGAAACTGTGAGCTCAAATAAACCTCTCTTTCTCTACATTGTGAGTGTCACAGATTTTTGTCCCCACAACAGGAGAGTGATTTTCAACATGGTCTTCTTGTATAATACAGAAATGTAGCTCCAATCAATTTCTCTAAAGTCCCATGCAGTTCAGTACAGCCAAACTGCTCACATGCTTATACAGTTTTGTTGTTTTTGTGGAGAGATGAAACTTTTCACTGGAGAACCCTCCAGTTCCAGGTATAAATAATCACTTACCAGGCTCCAGAGAAGAAACCTGGCCCCCATCTGCCATCTGGCCATTCTGGCCAGACACAGGATGACTCAGATTCCTGAAGTTCTGATCTTCCTTTAAGACTACAAACTGCATAAAAGAGAGAGGAGATACTGTTGTAATTCACAATATATCAACGTGCATTAATCACCACCTATGGATTGCTACATTTATCCAATGGAAAATGAAAGTTGGAAAAAAGTTCTGTCAAATTTCTCTCTTTGGCTAATGAAACAACATTCCATTTTCAGTCAGAAACCTTACATTACTTTCTACTAAAGCAATTAGGAAATGGGGGAAGGGGTTTAGGATTGAACTCAAGGACATTGAAATGAGCAACACCCCAACTCTTTTTTCATTTTGAGACAGGGTTTCACTAAGATGCTAATTGCCAAGGCTGCACTCAAACTTGCCATCCTCCTGCCTACCAAAGTGCCAGGATTATAGGCACAAGCCACTATGCCTGCCTACTACCAATATATTTTACTAAAGAGTATACTATAAATGTGGGCTCCTAACACTTGAGTCATGGATCCCTGGGTGCTACCATTTTACTACAAGTATCACAAGAATTCATTGAATATTCTAAGCACTGGCCTGAGAAATGTAAATGCTACTTTAAACACACCCAAACAAACACAATTTATTTAAATATACTATCCACTTCTGAGTAATTTGAGGTTGCAAGTATACACTAATAACTAAGTACAAGTACTATATTTTCTCGTGACTTAATTGCATCAGAACAAAAATCCTAAAAGGAAGGCCCAGAAAACATTCTCTTTAGTCAACAAAATGATTGCTTTTGTTACTATTTACAATGTTTGAGACTGATGCAGCACTTGCAGTGTAGGCTGGGGACAGCCACTGGATAGTCAGATTCGGGCTAGACAGATTAGGTATTAAAACAGGCCAGCAATAAAAGGTAAGAAGTGATCCGTGCTCCAGGATGAAGCCCTCCCTTTCCAATCAGTCACCTGGGCCAGGACCAGCGTGCTCCACTGGCTCAGAAACAGGGCTTCCACAGTGAAGGGCCGCAGTTCAGTAACAACATGTGGAAAAGAGATTAGGAAGAAAAAAACCCTCTGCTCCTGCTTCTCACTGAGGAGACCAGGGAGGGATAATGAGCAGGCTCAGTCAGGAGTGGGGAGGGACAAGGCGGTAATAAAAGGGCGACGCTCAAGAGCACAGTTTTCCTCTCTCCTCTCTCACAGCACTCCTCACCCTTTGTCTCTCCTCATTAATGGCTTCTCTGCAGCGATGCATTGCAGAATTGGTGCAGGCCCTACTGTTAAGGCCACAGGCCCGTTATTTCTGGCTTCAATCAAACTCCAACCTTCTGCACTGCCAATTTTCCAACGCTGTGCCGAATTCTGGGCTGGGGTGGGAAAGGCAGCCGACAGAACCAGATTTGTTTCTGCTGCTTCTCCTCCCAGCTTGGGTGCTCAGCTCTCCCCCACTGTCCCTGGCATGTGCAGCAGCCAAGGTTGAGGATGGCAGTGACAAAGGCTGGAGAGGACAGAGCCCCAGCACAGCTCCTGGCCAGCAGGCTGCTCTTGACGGCAGCAAGTGCTTTTGATTTTCATAACGACACACACAGATTGTGCTCCTTCCTCCACATCATCTAAATGAGATGGATTAAACCTGGACTCCAAAGCCCAAAAGAAATGCCACGTGAACGATCAAGTGCAATGTGGGTGGTCTGGAAATCCAGCCACAAGGCCTTAAAGCCCTGAACATGTTCAGTAGCTAAGTCCTCCTAGAATCACACATTTAGATAACTTACAGAGACAGAGGGCCTCTCAGAGATCATCTGATCTGAGGCCCTTGCACTGGAGAGGATGCTAAGGCCATGTCGAACTGTAAGTTCTACAGCTAGAACTTGCGCTTGTTATTCTAATTCCATAAACAGGTTCAACTCAATCCTTAAGCAAACACTGGACTCCTATGGCAGGCAGGGACAGGTAAGTGCCCACAGCCACAAGAGAGCACTTGTCTGGGGCAGAAGCATGAGGTGGGGGCTGGAGAGTGGGGAAATGAGGTGTGGAGGCCAAACACCGCCACAGCCCCTCTGGGGCTTCTTCCTAACAGTTTCCCCTCAGGCTTCAGTCCTCCACGGACCTGCTACATATGCCAGGCTCTTCCAAAAGATCCAGCAGCACACACAAAGTATATGCCAAGTTATCTCACAAGTTTCTGAAAATGGAAACTGCCCTAAAACAGCATCCAAGAGCCGACCCCATCCCAATCTGCCCTCTAGTGCTCAAGACCAGTACTGAAGTGGGGAACCTACAAAGCATGTTGAATTTCATAGCCCTACTATGCCCACTGGAAAATTTCTAGGCTGGCGGATCAAATATAGGATACCCAGTCAGAAAACTCATATTTGACACTGGATTAAAACCTGGTCTTTAATTATGAATTAAGACATTCTGTATTTTTGTTAAATCTGGCAACTATTTTGTTACTGAAGTTTATGGACTTAGGGAAAAGAAAATGTAAGAAAACCAGGAGCATACTCTGGAGTTTCAAAAATATTCAAAAAGCACAATTTAAAATTAGAGGAAAACTTTACATAGCACACCAAAAAAGTCTTAAGTTATAGGAAGAAGGTATATGATAGAATATAATTTCCTACAAGATAGCTTAGTGGACCAAAGCAGGTGCAGTGACCAGGGTTTGATCCCTGGCGTGCTGTGCCAACCCCACCCTTGGGGCATGCTGAGCTGGCAACTGAGACTGGTCATGGTGGTGTGTGCCTCTAATCCTAGAGCTTGGGAGGTTGAAAACGAACATGACTAAACTCTGATCTGTGTAGTGAGACCCTGTAGACCCTGCACTAAATACATTTTTAAAAAAAGAAAGAAAGAAAAAAATAATTCTCTACAGATTTTTTTTTTTTTTTTGGTGGAACTGGGGATTGAACTCAGGCCCCGTGCTTGCCAGGGAAGCACTTATTCCACTGAAACATCTCCCCAGCCCCTCTCTACAGATCTTGTGCCATTAAATTCTGGTGCTACAATTTGTGATAGCCAAATCTTGTAAACAACCAAGATGCCCATCACCTGAGGAATAGATGAAAAAGATGGGGTATTGTTATACAATGGAGTATTACTCAGCTATAAAGAATGATAAACTTGAAGGCTTTATATTGAAGTGGATGCCACTTGAAGATATACTCATAAGTGAAATAAACCAGACACACATGTGTAAATATCATATAGTTTCCCTAGTATAAGAACTCAAAAGAAGAA